CTCCCTCCCCCTCCTTCCACCCACACTCTCACATTTACTCACACATTGTACACTGCTGGCTGTGTTTGCGACTGCACTTCAGTCTTACCGGCGTTTGATTGGTCTCGTTTGGCTGCTATCCTTCTTGGGTTTTTAAAGAGTATTGAGATTCAATAGAGACCAAAAAAAAAAAAAAGGCAGGTGGGCGTAAGATCTCTGGGTTGGAACTATTTTTACTCGACTCCATTTAGCGCCTCATTGACGTAGGACAAACAAAAACAGAATAAAAGTTGGAGAAAACAGGAAGGGAATAAAATAATAAAACAGGAAGTGGTAAATTTCCTAACTAAAGTTGCTAAAATGCATCAGTCATAAATGAGCTTGTGTTTCTGGAAACTGTGAAATTTACTCCTTTGACAATGCATTTGTCTTTGTTCATACTTCTCACCTGTCAGTGCTTCAAACTGAACCGTTGTGTTTTCTGTGCATGTTACATCTGCTGTGTTTTTTCAGCCATTTTCAAATGTGAATTCTGTTTCGTATCTCGCACGTTAGATTCGTGTTGGAGGCTTTGAATACGTACCAGGGACCCTGCAGATCTACTCCGACAGCCTGCTCACGCTGCCCGCCATCATCGGCATCGGAGGAGGCGGTGGTCTGCTCCTGCTGGTCATCATAGTGGTGCTGATCGCCTATAAGAGGAAGTCACGCGATGCTGACCGCACCCTCAAGAGGCTACAGCTGCAGATGGACAACCTGGAGTCCAGGGTAGCTCTGGAATGCAAAGAAGGTGAGTTTGGCCAAGATGAGTTTGTGCGGCAATATTCTCGTCCAGAGTTTGGCCAAGATGAGTTTGTGCGGCGATATTCTCGTCCAGTTGACTCTCACATTAGCGCCCCCTTAAAAGTAGTGTGATCCCTCCACAAGATCATTTAATGTATCCTTCCTGCTCGTTCTCCTGCCTCTATTTATCTTTGTTTCACTTTCAACAGTCCCTCCACTGTTGGGTGGCATTAGTGTGCGAATGTGTCTGTTTGGGCTCCAGCAAATGCGAGCGTTGATGTGCATCCAGGGGATCCGAGCCAACAACCAGATGTTGGCTCTCCACCTCAGGAGTGAGCTGCCCGGCTGGACTCACTTCTGTCCACACTGAGAGGTGGAGGTTAGCTGGATACAGGGAGGGAGGTTCAGGATAGTGATGTAGGGCAGGTTTGGCAAAGACCAAGTGAGTGGGAGTCAGAGTGACAGACAGTGGTGATGAAAATAACATTAGGATTGTGTGAATTCGGTCACTTGGGTTTGGACTGATCTGACGTGGTTCAGTGGTTTATTATAGTCATTGTTGGCTTCTCTCAGGTTAGAGATGACTCATTTTTTAATGTGTTAAAGATTGTTACAAATCTTTTGACAGTTTTTACAGTTGATGATGATCAGATTCTGACTCAGACGTTTTCATGTCCCCAGTCATGACAGTTAACTAATAGGAAGCTTCCACTTCCACATGAGTCACACAAGGCCTGTCCCTCTATGAACAGGAGCTTCAGTCTGGCTGTGCCTGTCTGGTCCAGAGGTTATTTATATTTAAGTGTACTATTGTCAGACCGTTGTCACAAAAAGCATCCTCCCCCTAGAGGGCAGAACTTGTTTCAATTCCACTTGTGTGTTCAGGTCAGCTGTGTTGATCAGCTGAGGAACCTCTTCTCTCTGAGTGACTCTGAACGTATCTTAGCCCCGGAGAAATTCAGACCAAGGCGTACTTAATCCCACGATTCATTCTTCAGAAAAAGCTGCCACGTTCTTACTGAGCATGGCACCGTCCCCACACACTGCCCTGTGGGCAGCTGCCCCCCTGTTCGCTTTGGTGATGGGTAAAAAGCAGGGGCAGTTTCATTGTTTGCAGTGTTCTGCTGAATCACAGTAGTTCACTTTCACTTCTAAACTATCCAGAGTTCTCCTTTTTAAATCTCCTCCATCATCAAATCTGTGGCAGCGGCTGCCTGGAGTATAACGATGTTGTCTTCACTAAATCAGGCTGAATAAATTAACTGAAAAAAATGGAAATTTAGTCTGGTTATTAGACCTTTTTTACATCGAGCCTTTATGATGGATACAGTTGTTCGCACTTTGAACACTGTCTTAAAACTGTCTTTACATCGCCAGTCATCACGGCCTGCAGTCGTTAGCAGCAGTGTTGATGAATTTGTGTGCGTGTGTTTATTATTTCTTTGCACTCATTTTCCGCTCGTCTGCAACTGCTCTCAAATACACACACACACACACACACACAAAGCGGATTGGCTGAGCTGGTGACACAGAGAGCAGGTGCTGTGATCCTCTCTGTCCTCCACTGTCACCACTGTCTGGACGACATCAGCAGATAGATGGAGGCAGGGGGACGGACCGAGGGAGATAAATAAGTCGAATAACTTGTTAGATGAAAAGAGACTGAGGGCAAAGAAGAAGAGATGGGTTTGATAGAACCATAAAGTGAAGGTAAACGACCAGAAACGTTAGGTAAATACACTCAAGCGGAGATAATGGTGCATAAATATTTGACTGCAGAAGGGACTGGACGGACGGATAAAGGGTCAGCAGAGAGGAAGGAAAAATTCCTAAAATATTTGAAAGAAGAAGAAAAAAAATGTGTGCTTGAACCAGTCTTTTTAAGGTTGCAGGCAATAAAAGCTAGATGACACGAGGAAAGTGATTGAATTTGAGGGCAATAGAGAAAAAAAATATGGAGAGATTTGAAGGAAAATGGAGTGCATGCAAAAGGCTAACAAGAGGTTTTAAAAAAAAAAAGGTTGGGCAGAACCACACAGAGCAGAAGATAACTAAAGGGAAGAGAGGTGACCTCCAAGATGACACTGGAGGCAGGAGAGAGGCAGAGAAAGAGGAATAGGAAGAGAGGCAGAGGGTGACACCGGCCATCTGTTAGTCTGGGCTTTGGTTTATTTGTTTGGGTTGGGCATCCATGTGTTGGTGTATTTTGGATGCTGTTACAGGGCACGCACACACACACACAGGAACTGAGTTTGAAGCTAATGGAACTTTATACCTGTGTACATTTTTCCTCCAGGGACTTTTCTATTTATAAATTGAAGCGGAGGCAGTTCAGCAGCACGCTCTACTGTACGGGGATATGAGTGGGAGAATGGATTTGATCCCATTTGTACCTTCTAAATGTGACTTGTGAAGCCAGTGGAGTACACAGAATAGGGTCAGAATGGAAAGTGTGTGAAAACATTGACACATGCCCCCACATAAATCATACGGCGCTGGGTTTGTGTTCAGCTGAAGGGCAACACAGGAACCAGTGTTTGTGTGGCTGCAGCGGCGCAAACATGTGAGGAGGCAGTGTGTGTGTGTGTGTGTGTGTGTGTGTGTGTGTGTGTGTGTGTGTCACAGGCTCATGTTCTTGTGTGTATTCCATCCTGAGCTCCCCTGCAGCCACTGAACACTGCATCACTTCCAACCCCTCACTCCCTCCATCCACACGACACAGGTTTTTACCACGGCTTCTTTATCGGCTCCTCACTTTTATCAATGGGGAGATTTTTACCTTCCTGTTTGGTGCTGTTTTTAAAATCAGGTTGCAGATAAAAGAAAAAGACAAACTGAAGAAGTGTACGAAGTGGCTGTCACTCTTGACCTACATTTGGGAAACAGTTGGAGTTTAGGAGGATTGAATGAGAGGAGAGGAGGATGAGATAAGAATAAAAAATATCACGGTCTGATTTCAGTGTTAACTATTAATACTTCATACTATTTTCACCTTCTGTGATCTGTCTGATGTTTCAAACCGTTAACCTTCCCATCCGGCTCCGATCTGCAGCTTTCGCGGAACTGCAAACAGACATTCACGAACTGACGCAGGAACTGGACGGAGCAGGAATCCCCTTCCTGGACTACCGGACCTACGCCATGAGGGTTCTCTTCCCTGGGATTGAGGACCATCCTGTTCTCAAGGAGATGGAGGTACGGGTCAGTAGAGAGCGCTGCACACATGTTGACATGTTCATCAGCTGTATTTGGACACTTTAATCAGTCGGTAGAAATTGATTTGAAAATTTGAATACAATAAAAAATAAAAAGAATATTACCAGGTTGCTGGTTTGATTCCCGCTATAGGGACTTGGCCATAGCTGTGAGCTTGATTGTTGGTCTGCATATGTGGCCCTGTGATGGACTGTTGAACTGTCAGCCCTCACCTGATGGATGCTGGGATTGACTCTATTATTCCCCCTCCCACCCCCCACCCCCCGCACACACATGCATGACCTTGAGAAGGAGTGTGTTAGAAGACGAAAACATAAAACACCTCATTGAAGGACATTATATATATATATAGTTAGAAATACTATTTCATTAAACCAGTTGTAACTTTTACAGATCATCGACCACTTTAGACCAATGACTTCAGCTGGTGTGAGTGGATAGCAGTCCTACGTGTCAATCTAATGTTGATGTGTGATTGACAGCTCGGGGAGAAAGAAACTGAAATGGAATTGGTTTGTGAGCAGTTTCTATACACAGTCTACTGGGAACACTGGTAGATTGACTCTCCATTTTTTAACTGCAAAACAACCAGTTTTTTAACTGATTTGACTTGGAGCTAAAACATGAGAGAAGAACGTTAAAGTATCAGTGCAACACCTGTGCACAAGTAGCTAACACAGGGACGTCCACTTTGATGAGGAAAGGAACGAGATGGTTTCCTTTTTTTGGGGGGTGATGAACAATGTCTGAGCTCCATTAAAACTTTCCAAGATTACTTCTAAAGGTGTGAGCCTGTTGGAGACTCTGGAGAAATGAATGTCTAAAAGTTCAATAAAAGGCCGCGGCCGTTACAGCTTCTCATTCCTTATAATGAAATGCTCTCTCACTCACTTGATCCTCACAGCCCTGTGGACACTGTGATGTTGCACGTGAACATCAGCATAATTCTGATGTCATACACCGGGACGCCTCATCACGACGTGGGAGACGATCCATTGACTTGGATCACGTCTCCCACACCTGATGTTCATGTAAGGCGGCAGCCGCGGCAGAAAAGAACTTTGCGGCAGAGCGCTATCTGTTCATGCCGTCAACTTTTATTCCTAAACGATAGTGTATCACGACATTGGATTTTCATTTGTATGGTCCAGGCAATCACAGGCCACAGTGGTGCGCTGGCAGGCAGATCAATTTCTTATTACAGCATGAAGCTCACACTCTCCCTTCAAACCACCATTCTTCTGTCTGGGGAGGAGGGGGGAGATATGGTAGCCTTGAGAAAAAAAAAATAAAACTTGCATGGAAAAAAGAGGAATCAAGGGATAAAGGAGCTAAAGAGGAGGCATACAGTATTGAACAGTAGATGTTATTGAACCTGTGAACATGTGTGTCCTTCATCTGATCATCTTCACTCTCACAAATCCATTCACTCTCAACCTGTTAAATCTGCTGCCAAATTACTGCTAAATTTATTTCCTCTAAATGGAACTTCTTTTTTATCTCCTTTTCTTTTTTTCATCTCCTTGACTTCCATTGCCGTCTTTTTTCCCTTCCTTCACACGTGTTTCCGATTTGATTTCCGTTGCCCCCGGTTTCCATCCGTACCTCTCCAATCCCTTCTTCTCCAGGTTCCTGCCAACACTGAGAAGGCCCTGACCCTGTTTGGACAGCTGCTGACCAAGAAGCACTTCTTGCTAACCTTCATCCGCACCCTGGAGGCACAGCGATCCTTCTCCATGCGAGACCGAGGCAACGTGGCCTCCCTCATCATGACCGCGCTGCAAGGGGAGATGGAGTACGCGACGGGCGTCCTCAAGCAGCTCCTGTCTGACCTGATTGACAAAAACCTGGAGAGCAAAAATCACCCCAAGCTTTTACTCCGAAGGTAAGGATGATGAAGTAGAGATTAAAAGTGACTCGGGTTTTGGCAGGAAACGTGTCACACATACAGAAGAGGTTTCTGTGGGCTCTGGTTGGACTTTGTTGAGAGTGACTGCTGCAGAGCAATGGAGTTTGAGTTTAAGTTTTTGACAAATAACAGGTGATGTTTCTGTTTCACACCTGTTTCATTTGTGACCAATCAAAATGACAGATTGATATGGAAAAATGTCAAGAAAAGTGTGTGAAAGTGCTGTAAAACTCAAAATAGTGTCGATTAAGATAAATTAATTAATAATAAGTTGTTGTTAAAACAAAAAAGGGGAAAAATGGGAGGAGCCAAGAAGAAGAAAAGCAGCAGTCAGGGAATCTAAAGAATTGCAGTAGGGAGAAAGAAGAGATGAAAAAGAAACAAAATGAAGCAAATGACAAATGAAGTCATGTATTTAAAGAAAACTAAAAAAGGATACTATTAAAGAAATGTCCCCTCTCCAAATAAATGAAAATAGAAGACACTAAGTGAGTAAAAGACTAATGTCCCCAGAGAAATATTTCATTAAAAATCTAATCAAATAAATTATGCTCAGCTTCTCTACTTTTTTGGATTCTCTCATGAGGCGTATGGTCTCAGCACACCGTCTCTGGTAACTACATTTGCCTGAGAGGCTGGAATTAATAAGGAGCCGATATCAGGGAATTATTATTATTATTATTATTATTATTATTATTAGTATTATTAGTATTAGTATTAGTATTAGTATTATTAATAATAATGTTAGTTATCATAATTTACATATTTAAGCATTAGATATACACAGAAAAACACCAAGCTCGTCCTCCTGGTGAATTCCCATCGTCTGTGTTTTACTGTATAACCTCAGTGTGAGATTAGACTGGAATTCCCCATCGTCTTCCCCCTTTTTTCCCCTTCTTCCTCCTCCTGTCTAAAAAAATGTTAGAGAGAAAGGATGTGATATTTATCCTGTCTGAATGGCTGATGTTAAACGTCGCCCACTATCAAGTCCTGACATGCCCAGAGCTTGTTCCGTCCAGGTGTGTTTGTCTCCTCTGTCCTTTGTCGTCCAATCCTTCACTCCGCTTCATCTTTCATCCGATGTGGTTGGCTGACAACCAGGGATTTAAAACAAAACAAACAAAAAAAACACCCTCTCCATACATCAGATAACAGTGGAATAAGGAGGCGTGCAGCAGCGTAGGAGTTCAGGAGTTGTTCCTGTGAAACATCTTCACAGGAATCTCTACACGGCAGCCTGGTTTCATATTCTTCTCTCATTCTCCCACCGTTCCTCCATGTCACCGCAAGACAATATTTCTTTGCAAAAGTTGGCAAAAAGAAATCTTTTAAAGCAGACTTAAGTCAACCAAGTTTAGTTCTCTCTCCCTTTTTGCAATTTCTACGGAGATAAAGACTTAAAAACGATTAATATTTACCTCAAACAACAAGGAGAGGAGTGGAGAAACCTCCAAACTCATCCATCCAACAGGAAATATATATTCATTCATTGATCAAAGGCAGTTTCTAATCTTTGTGTCTTTTTTTCCCCCCCGCTTTTCAGGACAGAGTCTGTGGCGGAGAAGATGCTAACCAACTGGTTCACCTTCCTGCTCTACAAATTTCTCAAGGTAAAAACCCGGGAACGTTTTTTTTAGCACATCTTTTAATCGACAGTAAAAGGATGAGAACAAGAATGAGGATTTTTTTTTTTTGGCGTCCACACACACACACACGCATACACACACAGATGTGTTAAGTCTTTTTGTTCTGGCTTTGTTTGGATTTCAATCACTCAGTCATTAACACATCCTGTGTGCGTATTAATATTCTCATCCAGAGCTTTGGAGCAAAACCAAAGAGGAAGCCGGAGATCTTACACAAATACATTTTCTTCAGTCGTTTTCTTTGTTCTCCTCCCTGTTTATTTTCCTCCCGTCTTTTGAATTCCTTTCTCTCTGATACAGAATCAGAGGGAATTACTGAGGCTTAAAAGACACACACACACACACAGTCTCTCTCACACACACATACACACACATTGTTAGAACCAGTCAGAGGTATTTGGGCTCCATTTGATACATTTTGTTGGACAGCAACAAAACCAAACCCATTCAGAGTTCTAGATAACATCTGTGTGTGTCGTATTATTGGGTGGGCATATGTGTGTGTCTGTGTGTGTGTGTTTTGGCCAGTGTACTGCCAGATCTGAGTACTGTTTATGAGAGATGGAGGTCTCTGTGATCAGGAGTCTTTTGAAGACTGTAGTTGTCACATGAGACGTCAACAACCAAGGCTGCAAAGAGGTAGAGCATCAGGAAGAAAGAATATAGATGTTTATGTTTGGCAAAGTGAGGCCACTGCATCTACAGTGAGATGGAGACAGACCATAATCATAGAGGAAAGTGAAATCGACAAATTAAAAACAATCCTAACAAATCCACTAACATCTAACATGCTAGGACCTACTATCCTTATGGCCTAATTATGACATATTCTTATGACATATTTTTATGACATACTATTCTTCTTACTTTATGATCTACTATGACTCTACGTTTTCTATTCATTGTTAGTTATGTATTTTTGTATTTTGACTGAGTCAAATTGTAAGTTGCTTTGTATAAAAGTGTCAGCTAAATGTATTGTAATGTAATGTAAAATGTAACAATGAGAGGTCAAGAGTGGAACCTTGAGCTGACCTTTGCAATTCATCAACTTCCCTTCGATAGTGTTGTCAAAAATGTGGCAGAACGACTAGTGCAATTTCAGGGTTCAGCCAGGTGTGAGTAGAGACGAATAAAGGTCAGATGGTTGTTCAAAGGACGGAGAGTCGACCAATCAAAAAGGACAAGAGACAAAAGGAACATTTAATCTTTTACTCTATTCCCCCAGTCCTCCCAATTAACAATTTCATTCATTTGTGAAAACCCCAAAAATATTTGCGTTTCACCTCTGACCCTAGTGGAGGTGGAGGAGAATTACAGAAGGACAGAAATCATTTGTTACCAGTGGACTTTTCTGGAAAGGCTGCTTCTGTAATTATCCGTGACCTGTTCATAAACACGGAGCGTGAATATTGGCTTCTGTGCCGGTGTCATCTAAGGAGACGGATTCTGATGCTGCCAGACAGATGGGACATCTGCCGGTGCACTGTGTTTTCTCTGTGGGATGCGGGCAGTGCTAAATTATCCTGCTGAGTTCATCTGACAGCTCACCAAACTGACTGACGGGTGCTGATGCATGAGCACGCTCAGCCGAGGGCCGCAGGGCCGGCCGGTTCAGTCTCTCCAGCTCCGAGCTGCCAAGCTGGTTATATCGCACCTATTAAATAAATATATATATATACATTTACATGATCAAATATATATAAATAATAAGTGCTGTGTAGGTGTCAGGCCGGTACGATGAGGGAGGGTACGAGGGAACGGAGACCCCACATCCCAGTGAAATAATAAGTGCTGTGTAGGTGTCAGGATGAGGGAGGGTACGAGAGAACGGAGACCCCACATCCCAGCACTCGTTGCTGGGTTGACACATCTCACACACCAAAGTGCTTCTCCAAGCGTTTTTCACCCCTCAGTCATTAACCTTCTATTAACTCCTCCATCAATTGCCACTCACTTACACTCACACTCTCCCTGAATGCTCTCCTTCACTCACACACGCACACACTTTAGAAAGGCTTGTTTTTTTCCTCCCCCGAAATACACACTACACTCAGGGGAGATGAAGGAACAGTTTACTGTTAGCAGACAGGGGCCTCGCCCCTGTGTTTTACTGCTGTGCCTGTGGTTGACTTTAGGAACATTAGAGGTGTAATTGCAGAGCCGCTCTGTACAAAGACACACTTTTTTGTTGTTAAAAAGTATTTCACAGTTTGACACTGGTGCATTCAGACCCGTCGACTAGACTATGGGTCAAAGTCTGAAGGCACAAAGACAAAGTGCCAGAACCAAATTAGTGAATTGTGGTTAAAGATGAGGAGACAGAGCTCAAAGGGCAATAGGTAGGGTGACCAAAATAAGAAAGGAAATGACAACTTTTGTTAATAAATCCTGGCTGACTGGCACTTTGGAATGACTGGATTTTACTTTTATCTTTTTCTCTCCCCCCCCCCCCCCCCGGTGTCTCCAGGAGTGTGCTGGTGAGCCCCTCTTCATGCTGTACTGTGCCATGAAGCAGCAAATGGAAAAGGGACCCATAGACTCCATCACTGGAGAAGCTCGATACTCCCTCAGCGAGGACAAGCTCATCAGGCAGCAGATCGACTACAAGACTTTGGTCAGTATGGGCACACACGCGCAGACACACACACACACACACACTCGTGCAGGTAAATAAATGAACAGTTGTCATGTTTTTTTTTAAAGCACTGGGTCCATGTTATCTATAAAAACATTGGTAAACATTACAAAACCCCAAACTTTTATCTCTTTGACTTCAGCTGAATAAAAGCTCATGATGAAACACTTCCCACAAACTGTTCTCTCTCCACTTCAACAACAGCTCAGTGACTGGAATAAGGAACTAAATGGAGATTTGTTCCCAACTTTTGGACAAACTAAAGGTCATGCTCTAGGTCTGGGTGACGGCCGTTTGTTACCAGAGCGGTTAAACTCAGTATGGGCTTTATACAAAAACAAAATCCTCTGAGGACTCGTGAAGTTGACAGCGTTCCGTTCATAAAGCTGAGTTCCGCGGTTCAAATTGATTCTTCAAGTGTTATGTCTTGGGGTCAATTACCACGAGGTCATGCTCCTTCACATCAATAGTTAATGTGCCCACTCAGTGCTGACTTCCTGCCTTGATTATGACCTCTGACCTCTGCCTTTAACCTCTGTAGACTCTGCACTGCGTGAACCCGGAGAATGAAAATGCTTCAGAGGTGACGGTGAAGAGTCTGAACTGTGACACGGTGACGCAGGTGAAGGAGAAGCTGCTGGACGCCGTGTACAAGGGAACGCCGTACTCCCAGAGACCGAAAGCATCAGATATGGACCTGGGTGAGGAGGAGAGGAACTAAGTTTTTTTGGTTTTTTTTATGCAGATGATGACACTAAGTCCAACACTGCTGGTTGTAGCCCAAATAAAACTCAGAACAGTCAACCTCATTTAAAGGACAATCTGAATGATCCAAGTAGACTAGCACATTGTTTCCCAAAAGCTGGGTCGCGACCCTTAAGTTTTTTTGGGGTCGTCTTGCATCATGTTTCCCAGCAGTTCCCAGAATAATGTCTATTGACCTGGGTCACAAAGGTTTGTGAAAATATGGGTCCCCAGAAAAAAAGTTTGGAAAACACTGGACCAGCACGCCAAGCAAGTGAACAGTCCAATAAAGGTTTCATGTTTGAGTTCCTATTCATTTAGCTTAGTTCCATTTTTATTTTTTTAGTACAAAAAACATGTGAGTTACTGACTCTGTGCTGATAAACAAATGAATGTTCACGTTGACAGAGTGGAGACAGGGCAGAATGGCCCGCATCATCCTACAGGACGAGGACGTCACCACGAAAATCGACAACGACTGGAAGAGGCTCAACACCCTCGCTCACTACCAGGTACCTCACTGCAGTGACCAGTTAAACTGCAGCTCTACATCTGGTTCTCTCCTCTCACCCTCTAGACAAGTGGAATTTCAACCTTTTTGGAGTTTTATTTTAGCCTTTTATTCAAACGCGTCAGTGCAGCAGCCGTGTGGCACTGTCACACCACAGCCACCTGCTCTGCTGGGAGCAGAATAAATAGACAAGTCTGGGTCATTTTATGACAAAGTACAATAGAGTTCTTACATAAGATTTCCATCCAAGTATTCGCTTTGGTACTTGAACTCTGACAGAAATTACATGTTAGTTGTCGCTGCACTGAAATTATACTTCTTCACCGGCGCAGGAAAAATGTTCTCCAGACTCTTTCCTTCATTTGCGGAAAGTAATCCACAAATTAGCCAAGCTGCAGCAGAGTCGAAACCCTACAATTTCCATCTAAGAAACTTTTAAGTTTCTCAGAAAGAAATGTTCTAATTTGTGTAAATACGTCAACGCCAACTGATCTTTAATTCTGTTTCAGGTGACGGACGGGTCGGTCATCGCTCTGGTGCCTAAACAGAACTCGGCCTACAACATCTCCAACTCCTCCACATTTACCAAGTCCCTCAGCAGATATGGTACGAGAGAAGGTGTGTGTGTGTGTTTGTGTGTGTTTGTGTGTGTACTTTATATATGTACAATCAAATTCTATCTACATCTCTCTCTCTCTCTCTCTCTCTCTCTCTGCCTCTGTGGCGAACACATAAACTGCCACTAACAGCCCCATCACACACGCTCCGTGCGTCTCTGGTCCACATTCCCTTCTGACATTTTAAACCTTTCAATCCTTTCCTGCTTTGTCACACAAGTGACAAGCTTTAAAACTGAGTGTGGTAATTCTCCATGTCACAAAAAAAAAGGATCTCTGTCCTACAGTGGACGAGGGAAGAGGAAAAGAAGAAGAAGAAGAAAGGAGACGGGAAATAAGAGAGTGACGGACAAATTTATTCTGGGATGAGAGCAGCAACGTGCTAGAAAAAAAGCTGTCACCTTCAGAAACGCTTTTCTTCTTCACGCAGACGTCCGTCCCTCTGCTGCTGATGTCTTAGTCTGTGTTTTATCACCAGTAAGACTTGAACTGGTTTCACTTAAAATGCAGATGAAGTCGATGTTCATTAAACTATGTCAGCGTTAGAGTCAGAGTCAGGTGGTTCTTAGAACTATTGAACTGGGATTGAACTGGGTTCGGACTGTTGTGAAAAGGACAGAGATTATAAATGGAAATGGACAGAGGTTCAGGACCAGCTTTCTGAAGTGGAGCCATTAGATCAGTGCAAACGGGTCGAAATTTTTAGGGTTCAAGTGATGATGGTACAACTGCATATTTATTTTCTCTTCCTGAGCTGTGTGTTATTTGATGTTATTGATTTTTTCACTATAAAATATGGTGTTAGTTCAATACATTTGAACTGTAATTTGCCAAGATTAATTTTTCAAATGAATTGTTTTAATCCAACTCAAAAAAAAAAAGAACTAAACACAGTAGATGAAGGAACTTCTGATACTCTGTGGCTGTGACCTTGAACCAGCCAATAGGAGTCGTGACGATGACGCCTCCTGAAATATAAACTCTTGTAGTTTGGACGCAGTTTATTGTTTTATTGTTCTCACCTGTCGTCTCTTCTCCTTCGTGTCTCCTCCTCTTCCAGAGAGCATGCTGAGGACAGCCAGCAGTCCAGACAGTTTGCGCTCTCGAACTCCGATGATCACCCCTGACCTGGAGAGCGGCACCAAACTGTGGCACCTGGTCAAAAACCACGACCACTCAGATCACAGGGAAGGAGACAGGGGGAGCAAGATGGTCTCTGAGATCTACCTGACCAGACTGCTGGCCACTAAGGTGTGAAATAGCTGCCAGTTCAACACACACACACACACACACACACATTTTCTCTCCTATATCGCTGTATTGTTGCTACACTGCTACTAGCGTTGCCTTCACTGACCTTTGTTTGGTGTTGGTCTCAAAGCTCATTAGTATTTTTTGTAACCTTTTGCACAAAGACAAACATATGCATGGGAATGAGTGTGTGTGTTTGTGTGTGTGTTTGTGTCTTAATTAGGAGATTGACCTTTGACTATTGAGTTGTTGGGCTGCTGTTATTTAGCCCTGTTGGTGGCCTCTGGGCTTTTAGGTCTAAGCTCTCACCATACTGTCATCATTCACCTAAATCCATCATGTCATCAAGAGCACTTGGAATGTATTTTCTTGGAATGTAGTCTTGGTTCTTTCAGATATTATTTTCTTAAATAATATAAATGTAGTACTACTGCAGTTTTACTTGGTACAGTAACACATTTAAATTCATCAGAACTAAGGGACAAGGACGATCTTTTAGTCCTAAAAAGCCAAATAGTCACATTAATAATTCAGTGAATAATTATTTCCAATTTGGACCTTGCCGCACCTTGAACACGGACGTGTTTCTGGCGTTTCTTCCCAGAACTTTTTTTTGCCTCAATCATAGAAACTCTCTGAGCAGACTTCTAACAGAGTCAGGCTTTAACTCTCACTCCAAAGTAATGACTGTCTTTGTGATGCAGCTCTGCTCCTTCATCTGCTGCCGTACCCCCTCCCCCCCGCTCTCTCCCCTATTCCCTTGCTCCACATTCTCATTGTTCCGGCTCCAGGTAGCAGGGTTCACATTTAGAGTCATCATTGCAGAGAAATGATTAACATGCAGACTGGAGGAAGACAGCGGGGGAGCTGGAAGCACCGCAGTTTGTTCTTATTTATTTCAGCCCCCACTGCTTTGTGTATTTTGGAAGCTGATTTGTGGCAGAGTGAACAAATACAAAACTGCAGATTGAACTTCTGAATTGTTTAATAAGATTTTGCAAAAGGTGGCCTGAATGCTCCCCCAAAAAATGGAAACAAAGGGCTTTGGGGAAATATCAAGTCATTTTCACTTCAGAGTGGTTTTTGAGGAAATGTTTTGAAGGATGTGGAAAAGAATTAAAAATAAAATGTGTTTGGCCCAAGTCTGAACTCCCGTTGGGCCCCACTCCTAAATGCTGTAAGAAACACCCAGCATTAAAATATAGAAACATATTGCAGTTATATAAGCAGAGCACTGTCTTGTCTGAACACTACAGCACACTCAGACAGTCAGGCCTGCAGCTACAACATCACTCCACGGAGGCAACGTGCACCGGAGGTACGTTTTTAATGACGCCGTATCTTTAGAAGTCGGCCCCTGAACAACAGCAGGACCAACCAACTGGGATGGTAAAGCCAGAATTCTTATGGAAATAAACATCAGGAAAATATCATTATTATTGCAAACTAGAAAATGTCCTGCTAGGCTGTGGTGGTCCACACAACCTCCGAGTCAGTAGTCACAGTAATCTCCCAATAATTCTATTTCAACAATAGTTAAATGGTAAATAAATACATGGTCTCAACTCTCAGGCTGCCACATGAGAGGAGCCTTTAGGGATGTGTGTTTCCTCTGGGAATTGAACCCAGGACTCTTTGGTTGCAAAGCAGGTGTGCTGAGCTCTACACTCTGGAACCAAAAATAAAAATAGAATCACTGAGAGGAATCCTTGTTTAGGAATACTTGATTTGTTCAAGTGTCTCCACAGCCATAACACCTTCACTGACTCCACCTCTGCTGCTTCACCTTCTCAGGGTACGCTGCAGAAGTTTGTGGACGACCTGTTTGAGACAATCTTCAGTACAGCACACCGAGGCAGCGCCCTCCCTCTGGCCATCAAGTACATGTTCGACTTCCTGGACGAGCAGGCGGACAAACACTTCATATCAGACGCTGATGTACGGCACACGTGGAAGAGCAACTGGTGAGCAATTCTTTTTTATTACCTTTTTGGTTCGTTGTAGAAAAGTGAGTGTTTTTTCCTCACTCCTCAGGTCTGTTATCAGTCAGACTCCTCTGTCGTCTAAGTCCCTTTAACTCCAACTGTTCTTCTTCCTCCTTCTGTTTTCTCCATCCTTCCCTCCATTTTTCCAGTCTTCCTCTGCGGTTCTGGGTGAATGTGATCAAGAACCCACAGTTTGTCTTTGACATTCACAAGAACAGCATCACAGACGCCTGTCTGTCCGTGGTGGCTCAGACCTTCATGGACTCGTGTTCCACGTCAGAGCATAAACTGGGGAAAGACTCTCCCTCCAACAAGCTGCTCTACGCTAAAGACATCCCCAACTACAAAAACTGGGTGGAAAGGTAAGTCATGGGTAACATGTTACAGAGAATAATAACAATGTTGGTGTTGGTATGGTCGCTGTTCATGTTCATAATAATGTTCTTTTTTGCCTCTCATTTCCACAAAAGAAGAACATTTAACAAAATTTGGAATTTTTGAATTTTTCAGGTACTACTCCGACATCTCCAGGATGCCGGCCATCAGTGACCAGGACATGAGTGCCTACCTAGCAGAGCAGTCACGTCTGCACGCAAATCAGTTCAACAGTATGTCAGCGTTACATGAAATCTACTCCTACATCGTC